CTGTGCACAATATGTTCTCGCCTGGGCACGCGACCACGTGCAAGACGTCATCCAAGGCAGGCGCGAGCGAGCTGGCATCGCTCATCCACCTCGTGGTGGCGTTCGCCGAAGAGGAAGTCGTCGGCATCGAGTCTCTCGAGCGCGAACTGGCGTCCCTCCGCGCGTGCGGCCTGCTGGCGCGCGCGTTCATGGACGTAAAGCGTGGGGCCGTCGCCCCTCGCAACGACTTCGTTGCATCGGCTGAAGTCCATCTGGACTTGCACAAGCAGGCTTACGGCGTCCGCTGCGTGAAGCCCAAGCACCACTACGTGCTCCACAACGCGGACCAGGAGCCCAAGGAGCTCGACTGCTTCGTGACGGAGCGCCACAACAAGATGGTAAAAGCAGTCGCCGAACCAGTGCTTTGCACCTCGCGCTTTGAGCGCGCGGTGCTCGCGAGCGCAGTGTTGCACCAAGAGAGACAACTCGAACAAATGGGGCCGACTGGCAACGCGCTGACGGGGACTGCCGCCGACTCCGACGAATTGCGCTCCTTTGTCGGGGACGTCGACGTCTCCGTGTCGGTTTCGCTGCGCTGGGGCGGGCAAACGTACAGCGTGGGCGATGTGGTTCGCTCGCGCGGTGGCGAGATGTTCGTCCTCGACGCGTGCGCTGCCATCTCTGGCGAACTGCACGTCGTCGCGCGCGGGATCGAAATTTCAGCGCGCTCGCAGGGCAGGAGTACTGGGCGCGTGATCGACGAGTTCCTCATCATCAAGATGGCCGATGCCTGCCTGGAGCCCACGGTGTGGGCGTGGCGCGCGACGCGCAGAGGCGACTACGTAGTCTTGCACTCGTAGCGCCGCGCCGCGAGGAAAAGGAGAAAAGCGCCGCGCCGCGGGCGGGGGGGGGGATGCAGGGAGCGATGGGGATCGCGGGGGTGGGGGGGGGGGAGGGAGGCAGGGAGCGATGGGGATCGCTCGGCTGAAGCGATGGTGCTCGCTTGGGAAGGCAGGGAGCGATTGCGATCGCTTGGGAAGGCAGGGAGCGGTGGGCATCGCTCGGCTGAAGCGATTGCGATTCCTTGTGTTGGAGTTGAGGCTATCCACCCTATGGGTGAGAGGACGGCGCCCTCGTCGTCGTCGAGGTTGGTTTGAGAAGGTGTGGGGTTCTTGAGGTTTTGGGTTTAGGTTTTGGATTCTGGTGGTTTTGGGTACGTCGAAGTTGTTTTGGTGAGGTTTTGGTTTCTGGATGTTTTAGGTTTACGTATTGGGTTCTCTCTCCCCCGTCCCCCATCATCTCTCCAGTCCCCCATCATCTCTCCCGTCCCCCATCAACTCTCCCGTCCCCCATCGCCTCTCCCGTCCCCCGTCGTCTCTCCCGTCCCCCCTTCGGGTGATACAGGAGGTTGGGGCCTCTCGGAGGCGCTTTCGGCCCGCTGGGCGGGCGTTCTTGGGAGCGATGGAGATCGCTGGGGCGAGCGGGGCGTGGCTTGGGAGGTAGCGATGGCGATCGCTTGGGCGAAGGGGCGAGGGGGGGGCGGGGGCGGGGGTGCACGGGGAGGTAGCGATGGATATCGCTTGGGCGAGGAGGGCGTGGATTGGGAGGTAGCGATGGCGATCGCTTGGGCGAAGGGGCGGGGGGGGGGAGGTAGCGATGGAGATCGCTTGGGCGAGGGGGGCGTGGATTGGGGGGTAGCGATGGAGATCGCTTGGGCAAGGGGGGGCGTGGATTGGGAGGTAGCGATGGAGATCGCTTGGGCGATGGGGGCGAGGGGGCGGAGGTGATGGGGGGTGGTGGTGGGTGGGTGTGGGGTGTGGGGTGGGGTTGGGTGGTGGTGGTGGTGGCTTGTGGTGGTTGGTGGTTCGGTTGGTGGTGGGCGGGGCTGGTGGTGTGGTGGGTCGGTGTGGTGCGGGTGGGTGGGGTAGCTGGGGGATAGCGATGGCGTCCCGCTTGGAGGTGGGGGAGTGTATGGTGGAGGAGGTAGCGATGAGCGATCGCTCGGGAATTCTAATCGTGGGTAAGGAGGATGGTATAGAGGAGGGGGTGATGAGGCGGAGGATGAGGCTTATTCGACCAGAGAGCGGGTGGAAGTGGTGGATTGGGCGAAGAGCATCAGGGAGGGGGGGGGGAAGGGGGGGGGGTCGGAGGCGGTGGAGGGCAAAGCGATCTCGATCGCTGTGCGGTCATTGCCGCTAGCTTAGCCGTCCACTGGTTAGCCGTTGCTGGCTCTGGCGGGTGCGCGCGCCCCCGTTGCCGCCGCGCTAGCATCATGGCGGCCGGCGCGCTGGTGGAGCAGCTGGGGGCCGCCGCATCGTTCCTCACTCAGCTTGAGAAGGGGCGCGGCGGACACGTCACCGCGCGCGCGCATATGCAAAAACAAAGCGATGGGGATCGCTGGGCGGAGGTGAAGCGATGGCAATCGCTTGGGAAGGCGGGGGGCGATGGGGATCGCGGAGGTGTAGCGATGGCGATCGCTCGGGAGGGGGAGGAGGAGGATGACGAGCAAGCTGCTTTAACTGTTTTAACGCCGTTTTTGGCGCCAACTGCTTAAGCAGATTTAACGTCGTTTTGGGCGGACGGGGGGCAGTAGGAAGTGGAGGGGGAGAGCGATAGCGATCGCTGGGAGGGGACAGTAGGAAGTGGAGGAGGAGAGCGATAACGATCGTTGGGAGGACGAGGAGGATAGCGATAGCTTGTCCCTCTCGTCCATCAGCGCCGTCTCCCGTTTCAGCGCCGCGTCCCTCTCCTCGATCGCCTTCTTCAGCTCCACCTCCGCCTCATTCGTCGTCGCCGTCGTCGTCGACATCGTCGTCGTCGTCGTCGTCGCATCCCGCCTCGTCCAGCCATTGCGAGAACTGGCGGGCCCGCTCCGTCCTCCTCCCCTTCCTCCCCTTCCTCCCCTTCCTCCCCTTCCCCCTCCTCCTCCTTCTCCCCTGCCTCCCGTCTTTCTCCTCCTCCTCTCTTTCCTCCCCTTCCTCCTCCTCCTCCTCCTCCTCCTCCTCCTCCTCCTCCCACTTCTCCCCTCGTCCTCCTCCTCCCAGCGATCGTTATCGCTCCAGTTCTCGCAATGGCTGGACGAGGCGGGATGCGACGACGACGACGACGTCGACGACGACGGCGACGACGAATGAGGCGGAGGTGGAGCTGAAGAAGGCGACCGAGGAGAGGGGCGCGGCGCTGAAGCGGGAGACGGCGCTGAGGGGCGAGAGGGGCAAGATGCTGACGGAGAAGGAGGAGAAGGCGAAGGCGAAGGCGGAGAAAAAAATAAAAAGGAGAAGAAGGAGAAGAAGGAGAGGGAGGCGGCGGCGAAGGAGGCGGAGGCAAAAGTCAAGGCGAAGCCGAAGGGCCGCGCGCGGGCAAAGGGCAAGACGTGAGCGCCGCGCCTCCTCCCTCCTCCCCCTCCTCCCTCCCCCCTCAAGCAACAGTTAGGAATACTTATAAGTAACTTATATGTACCCCTTGAGTAACTTACAGCGCGTGCGCTATGGTTACTTATAAGTAACTTATATCTAACTCAGGTAAGTAGCGTAAGTACAACTAAGATACTTAGACTACATATAGCTAGGGTGCAAGTGCGCTTGAGATCTTGGAGCCTTTAAGTGGTGCCCGGGTGCCCGGGCATGCCCGGGGGTGCCTGGGGGTGCCCGGGGGTGCCCTATATTAGCCCTATAGCCCTATAGGTTAGGTTTGCCGCCGATTTTCGCGGCACGACCGGGTGCCCGGGTGCCCCGGGGTGCCCGCGGGTGCCCGGGTGCCCGGGTGCCCGGGCGTGCCCGGGGGTGCCTGGGGGTGCCCGGGCGTGCCCGGGGGTGCCTGGGGGTGCCCGGGGGTGCCCTATAGCCCTATATCCCAATAGCCCTATAGCCCTACAACTCTATAGCCCTACAACTCTATAGCCCTATAGCTCAATAGCCCTATAGCCCCCTAGCCCTACAGCCCTGATTGGGTCTTTTCTCCGGTATCATGTGTAATTCTTGGAATTCTATATATGTAAAGAAATGCACACATCAGATCGCGATGCTCTCTGCTCAGTGACGCGTCTGCTTATATACACTCATGTAAACGTATATCCCAGACACTCAAATCAGTGATCTCTCAATTATGCGCGCTCGGATCTGGTATATACTCTACATTATGTACGTTATACTGTCTTTGTCTGACCGTGGCCGCAAGGACCTGGGCACTTGGCCGCAACTGTGAACTCGAAGACCCGGGAACCTTACAACGCAAAGTTTCCAGAACCAAGAACCTGGTACTTGGACCCAAGGAACTTGGCCGCCCACCGAATCGGCGGCGTACCTTCGCCTGGTTTATTTTAACCCTACTCTCCTCTCCCCCGACGATGGCTGGGGAGTGGCCCGCACCTCTCCGCGTACATTTTTTACACAGGATTGCAAACATTGATATTTCCTATATGTTTGTCATTCGCAGCGTTTTCGACATCTCAGAATGGTGCTCCCGCTGCAGCGACGGCCTCAGTCTAGGACCGGCGCTTTGCTCCCATCGTTCACTCCAGAGCGGGCCACTTCTCTGGATCCGAGCGCTTCCTTATCGTTGTCGCCCGGCTCCTTCCCCCTTCCCCGCCTTGCCCTGATCGTCCTGCTCCTTCCGCTTCTCCCACTCCTTCCCCTACTGCTGCTGCTCCTTCTCCTCCTCCTTCTCCTTCTCCTTCTCCTCTTCCTCCTGAACTCCTGAACACGCTCCTGCTCATCCGCCTCTTCCTCCTCCAATGTGCAATGAACTCCGATCCTGTTCGGGGCTGTCCTCCATGATACCCGTCGGCGGATATAGGAAGCAACAGCACGACGGGAAGGGATGGGCGGGGGGGTAGGATCCCAGGCATGGCACGACCGCACCTAGCTTGCCTCTCTCCTCTCCTCTACCATTTATCATCTCATCATCTCTCCTCTCTCATCTCTCCTCCTCCTCCTCCTCGTCCTGCCCCTCCTCCCGCTTCCGCGGCCTGGGACGGGGCGGAATGCGGGGGCGTTCTGCCCAGCGGGGCTGGGCGGGCGCTCCTGCTGGGGGACTCCCGGAGCGCCTGGGATGCGTCGCAGAAGTCGCTCGTGGACGTGGACATCCGGGTCAGCTCGCCTGCCGGGGCGAGGGGGAGGGGAGCATCGAGGAGGGGGAGGAAGATGTGAACCGTGCCTCGGGGAGGGGGAGCAGAATAACAAGAGAAGAAGAAGAGGAAGAACAAGAAGAAGAAGAAGAAACAACACACACATTCATGCGAATTCGGCGACAGTGATGTCGAGTGGCGCCTGCTGGGCGTGGCGCGATCTCAGTGCCTCCCGGGGGCCCTAGCGTGGCGATGGCTTGCCAGCGGAAAGGCAAGAAGTCAACCGGTGACCGGTTTGGGCCGTGGGCTGACTCTGCCCGAAGAGGCGTCCGATACACCCCTCCGTCAGACGCACCTGTGCGTCGACCACACAGATGACACATCTTGCACAAATCCGGCATCTCGCTGGCGGCACGCTTTTCCGCCATGTGCTCGACCTGAGTGCAAGAAGTGGACTGCACGCAACGGGCTCCGAACTGGAGCTTGTGGCGCTGCTCACTCCGACGCCGTGGACCATCCAAGGGAACAGCTTTGTGCTGACTACCTGCCAGACCACCCCAACCCAACCCGAAGACCCGAATTTCGGGTTCGGGGGGATAAGGGTTCCACACGTGTTTTTTCTACGTTTCCCGACCCCCCCCCCACTGGAAATCGAGGGTGAATCTGAGCCTTCGGGTTGGTTTGGGGTGGTTTGGTGGGTGGTGATGTGCTGGTCTTCGGTCAAAGAACCCATGCAGCAGGGAGGACGATAATAAAGGGATGGAGACGAGAGGAGAAACAAACAAACATGGAGGAAGGAGATGAGGAGGGAAGAAAAGAGCAGGAGGAAGAGGAGGAACAGGATGGGGAGGAGCGAGCCGCGGAGGCAGAAGAGGAAGACGAGCAGGCAGAGGAGCAGGAAAAGGAGCGACCGCCCCTGGGGGGCAAGAGGGGCATGGGGGAGCAGCCATTACCAGCCTGGATCATGTCCCTATCCCTAGGCTGGGCAGCGCCCCAACACAATGCCAATCTTCGGGAGTCCCTTAGTTTTGCAGGGGCGCAGCCCTGAGATTGTCAATCGCCTTTTTGGCGTGTCCATCTTAGGGCTAGGGATACGTCCGAGGCCGGTGCGGCCAGACCGGGAGGGCGAAGGGGAGGAGATCGGGACCGGCAGTCGGCACGGCAGAGCACTCTCACACGCTGTCTCGCAGCTGCCCGGGCCCCTGGGGGGCGGAGCGGGCGAGGAGGGCAGCGGCGGGCGCAGCAGCGACCCAGAGATCCGACGTCGTGGTTTTTTTCCATGCGCGGCCCCCGGAAGGCTCGGCCCCTCCCCGGGACCGGTGTTTCATCCCGAGTCGTTCTTTGACGGTCCCGAGGCCCGGCGAGGGCCCCTCGGGGCCGAAATTTGCGAAAAAACTCCGTCTTGATTTTTTCAGTACGTTGGATCTCTGGGGAGAGGGGAGCGCGGAGGCCGAAATTTGCGAAAAACCTCCGTCTTGATTTTTTCAGTCCGTTGGATCTCTGGGGAGAGGGGCGCGCGGAGGCCGAGGCGTGCTCGTCGCCGCGTCTCCCGGCGGCCGGCGAGAGCGACGCCGGCACACTGGGGTCCGCGCCGCCGGCCGCCGAATTGCTCATCCTGCGCATCCTGGCGGGAATGATCGCGGAGGGGAGGAGGAGGAGGAGGAGGAGGAGGAGGAGGAGGAGGAGGAGGAGGAGGAGGAGGAGGAGGAGGAGGCATGAGGAGGAGGATTGGCGAGGAGAGGGAGGTGGAGGAGGGAGGAGGAAGAGGAGGAGGAGGAGGAGGATGAGAAGGAGGGAAGGAGGGGAGGAGGAGGAGGAGGGGAGGAGGAGGAGGAGGAGGAGGGGGAGGAGGAGGAGGAGGAGGAGGATGAGGGGGGGAGTGGAGGAGGAGGTGGAGGAGGAGGGGGAGGAGGAGGAGGAGGAGGAGGAGGAGGAGGAGGAAGACGAGGATGATGAAGAGGAGGGTAGGAACGGGGCAGGTGAGAGGAGGGGGGATTGGGTCTGGGCTCCAGAGGCGTCTGGAGACAGCTCGGGGCGTGCCCTCCGAAGGACCTTCCTCCGAGGGGCTGCTGCGCAGCGAGACAGCCGGCTCCCCGACACTGTCCAAGACGGCTCAGGCAGGGAGGGGCTTCCAGGAGCCATCAGAGAACTGGCAGGAGGAAAAGAGGAGGAGCATACTACCAGGACGAGGGCGAGGGGAATGAGGAGAGGGGGAGGGGGAGGGGGGAGAACGACTGAGGAAAAGAGGAGGATGAGAAGGAGGTGGAGGAGGAGAAGGAGGCACAGGAGGGGGGGACAGGAGGAGAAAGAGAGGCGGAGGGAGAGGAGGAGGAGGACGAGGAGGAGGAGGAAGAGTAAGATGCGCGGGAGGGTGAGGATGATGATGCTGCTGATGATGCTGATACATATGCAGATGCTGATGCTGCTGCTGCTGATGATGATGGTGATGATTATGCTGCTGCCGACGATGAGATGATAGAGATGGTGATGATGATGGTGATGGTGATAGTGATGGTGATGTTGCTGCTGATGATGTTGATGATGAGGCTATTGATGATGCTGATGATGATGATGATGGTGATGGTGATCATGATGATGATGATGATGATGATGATGATGATGATGATGATGATGATGATAATCGTGATGGGCATGCTGCTGGTAGTGATGATGGTGTTGGTGATGCTGACCATGGTGCTGGTGGTGCAGATGCTGACGATGGTGCTGATGGCGGTAATGATGGTGACAGTGCTGATAATGATGTTGATTGATGTTTGATGATGATGATGATGATGATGATGATGATGATGATGAACGATTAATGAATGATGGATGATGGTAATGATGGTGATGGCGATGATACTGATGATGATGATGATGATGATGATGATGATGATGATGATGATGATGATGATGCTGATGCTGCTGATGATGATGATGCTGATGCTGATGCTGATGCTGATAGTGATGATGATGCTGCTGATGATGACGCTGACGATGAATCTGATGTTGCGGATGATGATGATGATGCTGATGTTGATGGCGATGATGACGGTGAAAGAGAGGATGAGGATGAGCAGGAGGAGGAGGAGGAGGAGGAGGAGGAGGGAGGAGGAAGAGGAGGAGGAGGAGGAGGAGGAGGAGGAGGAGGAGGAGGAGGAGGGCCGAGGGAGCAAGGATGACAACAGCTGGGCGCGAGAGGAAAGGGGAGGGACAGGGGGGAGAGAGCCCCTCCGCTTCCCCTCTCTGTTTCAGGGAGCCCCCCACCCGCCCGCGTCGCTCTCGGCGAGCCCTGCCGTCTGCCTTGGCTCCGGCAGCCCCCCCCCCTTCTCTTCTGTCTGAACGGAGGCCCCCGCCGTCCTCTGCTGCCACTCGGACCCTGAGAGGCACGCGTGCTGGATCACCTGCAGGTACCTCGCGCGAGGTCCTCCTCCTCCTCCTCCTCATCCTCTGCCCCTGCCGCTCTCCCATCTCCTCCTCCTCCAGCGCCTCCGCCCCCTGTTGCACCTCCCCAATTCCATCTCCCCCCCCCTCTTGCTCCTTGTTTCCCCCCCGCCCCCTGTTGGTTTCCAGCCCACTGGTTATGCCCCACGCCCCTCTCCACCCCCCATCCTTACACTCCCCCTCCTCCTCTTCCTCCCCAGAGCGTTGGTTGCCTTTGTCTACCATGTGTTTGACGACCTGGACGGTCTTCCTGCTGATGTTCCAACCAACGCCATGGCCCTTGACCCGACTCCGAGGCTGCAAGTGCGCCCCGTACCCACGTTGACGCCCGGGCAGTCGTCTCAAGTCCGAGCTCGGGGGGCCTGGAAGTCTCATCTGGCAGACTGGACGCCTGGAAGCCCGCTGCCCCGAGCCACGAGACTCAGGCGTGTGGAACCCTGGTGGCTGGACCTACCGCATCGCAGGCTCGTCCAACGGCCGTCCGCCCCAGGCCGTGTACCCAGGTTGAAAAATCGAGTGGCCTGGAATCGGCCCGTCTCGATAGCAGAACTCACGCGAGCGAGCATCGAGCCAGATCCACCCTCGGACAGCGCCCAGTTGTCAGGGGCCTCTCCACAAAAGTCAGCTCCGGCACAACGCCCTCGGCCCACAGCTTCCCTGGGGTCACCAGCTGAACTCCCAAGGAACGTAGGCGATCGTGAAATGATGAGGAGGACGGTCCCTTTGCCAGAAGGACTCGGCCGCGGCTGCCTGGTGCAGCCAAGTGGACGGAGGATCGAGCAGGTCCTGTCCTGGCCAGCTGCCTGGAGAGACGACAGCTTGCGCCAAACCTGCGATGGCATCTTCCACCGCCCCCCCTCCTGCTGCTCCTGCTCCTCCTGTTGGCTCAGGTTGGCTCCGGGTGCCGCCTGTTGTTGCTGCCAGAAACTGCCGCGAAGCAGCGAAAAGCAGTACTAGGAAGAATGGAAACTGAATTACCTGGCAACTATCTCGCCTCCTTGGACGCCCAGCCAGACGGCTGTCATATAAGTGGGACTGATCTCTCCACCAACTTCTTCGTTCTAGGGCCGATCCCACTCTCCAACATCTTCTTAGGCCCCTCTGCGCGGCGATCACCGGACCTCGGTGGCATTCCTGGAGGAGGTATGGACGGGCTCGAGAGCTCTCGAAGGCGCCGCAGCGACCACACCAAGCTACCGTACCCCATCAGCCACATCTTGGGAATAACCACTGGTCCGCGCAGTCCTGGGCGGTCCACCTCAGGGGAACACACGCACTGCAGCGCGAGTCCTCCATCGCTCTCCGCAGCGCAAGCACAAGCGCGATCCTCTGGCCACGCATTCGATGGCGTGGCCCTCAGGTCCAGGCACGAGCTCTGGCAAGCACGGCTTGGCCCGGCGGGGCCTCTGACTGCTCGAACTGTCAGGGGAATCCTTCGCATCCAAGCCATCCATGATGTCAGCTATCAGCCATTCCGACTGCCGACTCACGGGCTCCAGAAATCGAGACCTCTCACGCGTCCAGGGACTATGATGCCGCTCATGGGCCCATTTGCGGGTAAACTCATCAGCCTTCGTATGTCCCGTCATCTCCACTCATCTATACCCAACCTGCGGGCCTGGTTCAGGGAGAGGTGGGACTTAACCTTGGATACCAAGATCCTATCACACCCAATCTAAGTGGCAAGCCTGACGACCTCAACCCAGAGATCCAGGCACGCCACCTTCTCAAGGTCCTGATCGGGGCCCCTCCTCCATGTGTCCTGCGCGGCCTGGCAATCCGTCGCAACTTCCATGGCATCTTGCCCTGTAAGTCGGAGGTTCATGAGAAAAGCACGCACCTCCCCGCAATCACTGGTCTGAGCCGCGTGTGGCAAGATCCTGCGACATGCTCCACAGAGACAATCACCACAGCCAAGCCATATCCCGTAAACTGGGGCAGGGCAGGGTTTAGTGCAGAACCGTCCAGGTACGCGCGAGATCCACGCCACCCCCCAATTGGAACGACTTCCCACTTGCGTCCAGCTCGGGCGCACAGTACGGGCTGTTGCCACTCGGGGTTCTCTGGCAGCGCGCGGGTGGCCAGCAACGTGCTGGCGGACGAGCCATCAAGGGCGAGAGCATCGCCCACGTCGAGATTGCGCCGAACTCCTCCTCCTCCCCCTCCTCCTCCTCCTCCACCGCCTCCTCCTCCTCCTCCTCCTCCTCCTCCTCCCCCTCCTCCCCCTCCTAGCATCATGGGCTGGGCAGCAGCGAAGGCGTTGGCTGGGCGTACCTATCTGCCCTCCACAGAAAGCTGGCACGGGGGATCAGCAGCTGCACGAGCACCGTGCAGGGTGGCCTGAGTGGGGTACCCTCCAGTGAGAATCCGAGCAAGCCCCACGGCGGCCACACTCCTCTCACTCCCCAGGAGCTTCAGGGGAGGACCTCGATGGCGGGCTCCACCGTGGCACCCCCACGTATCCCAGGGACCCGCACCCCATCTCCGATGCCTCGAAATAACATGTCCTGCGCATTTTGCTCCTCCTCCTCCTCCCCTCCTCCTCCCTCCTCCCCTCCTCCTCTTCCTCCTCCTCCTCCTCCTCCCTCCTCCTACTCCCTCCTCCTCCTCCTCCTCCTCTTCCTCCTCCTCCTCCTCCTCCTCCTCCTCTTCCTCCTCATTGTCGTCATCGCCCCCCCCCATCCCCCTCTACCTCTCGTCCCTTCCTCCAGCCCTGATCCTCCCACAAGCACCTCGTGCGGAACGTCGCGTGTATGTCGCGCCCCAGCTTGTCCACCTCCAGGCGGATGGGTCGGTGGTTTTTCGCTTTCCGGCGCAACTTTGGAAAAGGGGGAAGCGGACACGGCAACAAAAGTGGGCCGTCAAGCCACGTAGGAGGGTTGTCCTGCGAGCGTGGCCAAATTTCGGCACGTAATCTGCCAGTTTGCGACGGCAGTGTCAAAACTGAGGGGTGGAAGTGCGGACAACTGAATGAAACACTGTGCATCCAAGGACGCTGGATATGTACACGCCGTGTACGTCACTACGTGCCCAAACTGAAGAAACGGACCGCAGTGCCACCGCAGGCAAATACGAACGTAGTCGAACACCGTAGGGCGGAGATGTCACCGTCGTCGTCGTCGCAGGAGGATGAGGGGCCGGGACGGGTGCTGGGGGTGAGGAGCAGGAGGAGGGATGACGAGGAGGACTCTCAGCGACGGCCTGTGGCGCCTCAGATCCACTAGTGGGCCAGACTTCCTGGTGCCACCACCCTGTAGAGCTCGTTGGTCGCGAGAGCCCATCGTGGCTGGCACCCAATATCAGGGCAATCGTTGGGCAAGGCGAGGACGTGCGCTGGGGGATTCGCAGGAACGCCGCCGCCTTCGTCCAATGCCGTCCTCTGTGGTGTAAGAGTAAGAGGGCGAGGAAACGAGCGTAGGGGGGCCGCGTGTCCTCCCACCTACTGCGGCGGAGCGCCAAGCGCGTCCTTCACGCCCAGCAACTGGTCGAGGGGCCCGACAGGCGCAGCCGATGTTCTGAAGTACGAAGGGCTGGCGGCGGCGACGGTGGAGGGGAGCGGGTAAGGGGCAGCAGCAGCAACCGCAGCAGCCATCGGGAGCGACGGACAGGAGGGAGAGAGGTGGAAAAGAGTATGCGGGGGCGACAAACGAGCGACACGAAAGGGCTGGGGCGAATCATGCGGAGAGCTGAATACAAGACGAATGGAACAAATCCATCTCGACGGCATCGCGCGAGCGGGAACAGACACAATAGGCGGAAACGTGGGAGTCAAAAGAAAGGGCGGACAACGAGGGGGAGCGGCCAAGGAAGGGGAAAGAAAAGCAGACGATAGCTCATGACTTTGACTCCTGCAGGGCTCAGAATGGGGCAATCTCAGGGTGCCCTCAACTCCTGGTCCGCTCGAACACGTTATCGGCGGAGAGCACGTAATTGCTGGTGACGCGGCAACCGCCGAAGAAGACCCTGCATAAGCAACTTCACAAGGATGAGATCGGATAATGGCCTGGCACTGGTTCATGAATTCAATCGCCAGCTAATCGATGACAGAGCGTGGTCGATAATCACAAGAGATATCAGATGCGGGACACACGGTCAGCCCACATCTCGCTAGACAACATTCTGCTTCACCTCTGACAAGGCCCCCCAGCAGGTGCAGGCCTCGGCGGACCGTCGGGGGGTACACCACAGACTGTGTCCGAGGAGCTGGGGTCGGACGTCGTGCTGGAGTCGGATGTTGACGAGACACAATGGATGCGAGTGGAGCCTATAATCAACCGCGGCGGCAGGATCCATTTCTGCAACGTCCGCGCTGGTCGCGAGAGACGAAGAAACCGCGCTGAAGCAGCCGCGAACGAGGAAAGAGTTCTGGTGACAATGGTACCGCCGCGCTCCCTGGACATGTTAAACACCTGGCAAACAACATACAGATCCTCAAATCATGCGGGCTTGGGATCCGTGAGGCCCAAGCGTGCTGGAAACGAGGCAGGAAGGCCTCGACAAAGAACTCGACCCGTGGCGACACGTAGTCGCGGGCACACCAGGTAGTGCGATAGCCGATCAGGTCGGCTGCATCCGTAGCGACAGCGGAGTAGGCCATCGGGATGTACAATACTGGCAGACGTCATCCATCCGTTGTTCCAAGTCCTGATCACAGCCATGGCCCAGCTCTGCGGGAGGAGGCGCATGAGCTCGCGAATCTTCTCCCAATGGACACGATGCAGGAAGGGCTCGCAGTCGCACAGAATCCTGCTCAGGTATCTCTCGATGGCACGGCTGGGCGCGCGCTCAGCTGCGATGAGGAGTAAGAGGAGGAGGAGGAGGAGGAGGAGGAGGAGGAGGAGAAGGTGGAGGACAAGGCAGGATGAGGATGGCACCGTATGACCAGGAGTCCAGATCATCGAGAGAGCACCGCGACAGCGCGAGCAGACCGCATGGCGTTCGCTCTGGCGCGGGCTCGGACCATGCTCTCGACCCCTTCTGGGCCCCGACGGTGTTACAACCAGAGAGTGCTACATACAGAAAACCAATCACCAATGCAGAAGCTTGCAATACATCGCATGTTCTACAACTCCCATACGCTCACACCATGCACAAGGATGCGTTGAGAGGAATACCTTTGAGAGCAGCAGGTGGAGGAGTGTAAGGAGAAGAGGGCACAAGAGGAGGACGACAAGGGGGAAACAAAAATAGTGATCGAGCCCGTTCCCGCTTCCTGGCCGCAGCCAAGTCAGCCCGGCCAAGCGCGCATCCTGCACCTGCGGGTGATCGGCCACCTGGAGCACGCAGACTTCAGGACGACTCTGCAAACGAATGGTCCGCACTTCTGGGAGGCAAGGCTCCGGCTTAGGACGGTGATCAACAACTGGCATGGGAGCCACAGGAATAAACCAACGAATCTTAGGTAGCAGTAGCGTGCCAGGGCTGGGGAGGTTCAGAGTGCCAGCAAGGCGCTTGGCAACCTTGGCCTGGACGTCTGGGGTCTCCTCGTAGCCGAACCCTGGAATCATCATGGGCATGCTGCTTTGACTACTGTTCATGCTGTATGTAATGCTAAGTTCGAGCCACTCTTCATAGCGAGGAACTGCCAGAATATCAACATCATAGTGGAGAGCATGCAGGATGAGGAAAGCGAGATGAAAAGGGAGGAGGAAGAAAGCGAAGAGCACGAGGAGCACCAGGAGGACGACGAAGACGGCGACCGAGTGAGCGAACGAACGAACAAACGAACGGCCAACGACGTCGGCGACGTTGACCATAAGAACGAAGGCCACCTCTTCTGTGAAGGTCTCCTCGAATTGGCCCATGAAGGGGGCCAGCTTTCCCTCTGTCAGGCGCCCGAACGCGTCCACGAGCCTAGCAGGAAAAGAGCATGGAAAAGAACGGCTCAATCCTCTTCCTCCTTCTCCTCTTCGTCCTCCTCCTCCTCGTCCTCCTCCTCTTCCTAAAACGCCTCCTCCAACTATGTTTGTTAGCAGCAGCGCCCACGCCCCAGGGGGAAAGAACAGTCCGCAGCCAACAGTGAAGCGCAACTGGCACGGCAGAATGAGAATCTCCTACTCCACTTCCTTCTCCTCCTCCTCCTCCTCCTTCTCCTCCTCCGCCTCCGCCTCGTCGTCCTTCCCTCCCTCCCTCCCTCCCTCCTCCCTCCCTCCCTCCCTCCTCCCTCCTGCGGTGGGAAGGGGCGGAGGGCGGACACGGGTGAGCGGAGGTGAAGGAGGAAGACCCGTGTACACCCAAGACGCATCAACGATGGTGGAATAAACCCTCCCTCCAAGTTCCCTCCTCATAGGCCCCTACACGGATTCATTTCCACCGAAGGAAGTCCCCCGTTGGGGGACAAACGCATGAAGATCCTGAAGCGTGCCAAAACACCATTCTCGGGAGCTGCGTCTTGACGGCCCTGAATCGTACTAGAAAGCCGTTCCTGGGAATTCGACACCGCGGCTCAATGTAGCTGTTGCGCCCTGACAATCATGAATCGCTTTAAAACACCATTTCTGGCACATTAGCCATGGGAACCCGCAAAACTCTTGCATGTTGTTGAACGAATGTGCAACGCGCTAAAGCCAGAACCACGTGTTGAAAAGGAACCGCCCTCAATCCGCGAAGCCCTTGCAAAAGTCTAAAGCGAATGTGCGCGGCGCTAAAGCGATAACCACATGCTGAAAACGGTCCACCCTCAACCCGTTAAACTCTTAGAACTTTGTTTTGACGAGTGTTCGTGGCGCTGATGCGAAAGCCTCATGTTGAACATCCCCGCCCTCAATCCGCGAGAAAATCTTACAAATGATTGAAGCGAGTATGCGCGGCACTACGGCGAGAACCACATGTTGGAAGCGAACCGCCGTCCATCCGTGAAACTGTTGCCAGTCTTAACGCTTGAAGCTCATAAAAAGTCAGGAAGTCTCAAGCGAAACGCCCCGCCCGCCCTTACGACCGGCCTCGGGGTGCGACAAAGAGGAGTTATGTATAAGGAAAAGGATTTGAGGAGGACAAAATTCCGGAGGTCCCCAGAAGCCTCCAGAAGCCTCCACGAACCCTCAAATGCCCCGAACCCACAAAAAGCCTTGCTCTTCCGTCCTTGGGTAACGATTCTTCGTGCAAGCAACTGTCAACGTATCAACGTGAACTTGGACGCACAGCGGCAGTTCACATGCCACGGAGTACCTCTTGGAGTGAATTGAAACAGTGTTGCAACACTGAAAATGCCTCAAACAAATCAACAGCAAAGTGCCAGCTGGCATCGGTGCCGTGCGTGCAGAACGACACATCTTCTGTTGAACCACTGCATTGAACCAAGTTGTGTCAAACAGACACCGGTCCCAAATGCAAGCGGTGTGCTGAAGTAGGCACAGATAACTAGACGGCGAAGTTCCAATGAACAATGGCGCCTCGTAGGCGCGGGCGCAGCGGCGCAGGTGCGCGCCGCCAGGAAAAGCGGGGCATAAACGTCAGGAAACGAGCCCCATTGGGCGAGGATGGCAATGAGACGAGACGAAGAAGGAGGGAAGGAACACCCCGACGGAAGGCTTGGTTGGTCGAAGATCAAAGCGGTTGACCTGAAGCGTCAATTTCTAATTGACGGAAACATGCCGTCCCCGACCGTCTGCTGGCAGCCCGGCGGCTCCACTGTCTCGGACGCAGCTGCGCGCGCCATCAGCGTCGGCGTTACACTCGCGATACATGCGAGGAATCACGGTATCCAGAACACCCGCCACCCCCCGCAGGCGTGCGAGGAGCGACGGGGAGTTTTCACGGGAAGGCCAACTATCCGCCGACAAACACCCCCACTGACAATTCACCTGCTTGGCGAACAACAGAGAATCAACGTGGAAGCGCATTCGCGGCGAAGGGTGGCAGACCGCGCGTTCGATCAACATGAGGAGCCCGCCATGCTCGGCAAGATTGTTGCTGGCACCCCCGGCTGCCAACGCGGCATCGCGCGCTGCCGCGCGAAGCCTGGCGTGAACCACCAGAACCCCGATTGCGCGCAGCGCCGTCGGAGGCACGCGCAGCCCACTCCTCCGGGAGCGTCGGGGCGCGCCGGCGGCGCACAACAAAAAGAGCAGGCGTGGACCTCCTGCTGGTGGACGGCCTGCAGGCTGTGGCTGGTTAGTTCGCCATTGGAGAGCAGGCGCACCATGGCCAACCAATGCTCTCCTGGGACCTCAAAAGGCGCATGGCGCAATCTGGTCTCTACCACCACGACAGGCCGCAGGACGCAAGCCTTGCGCGCATCATCGCCCGCCCGCGAGATCGGATACTCCGCCTGGTAGAGGCGCCGTGGAGCGACCGGAAAACGCAAATGCCGCGCCTCCAGGTGCTGCGCTTCCGTCGCAGGGCTTCCGCGATTGTTTCGCCTGCGATGCGCAGGAACGCACTGCAGGCTTGGGCAGTGGACGACATAGGGCGCGGGCCACATGCTGGCGCGTTGCTTTGCGCGTCAGCTTGCCGCCAACCGCATAGTTGCGCATGAATCCCCCATGCCACCTTCAAGTGCGTCGCCATCGATATCGGACAGGCCACATTTGCAAGAAACGGATCATTCGTCTCCACCAGAGTGCGCACCAAGGTTTGGGCATGGCCGATACTTGTAAAAGGGCGCCCACGGACCCTTTTCCAGGCCCGATGCCAAGTCGCGCGCAGCGGACAAGTTGGGGACGCCCACGAGCACAAACATCAACGCGTAAGGAAGCACGCGGAGAGCGAAAACGGTCCAGGGCAAATAACCTGGTTGCAAGACTCGCCCGGGCCGCCGCGATTTACAAACAACGCTGTTGGAGCTTCGCCTACACGTAGGAATGACCCTAAGCTAGGGTGGCCTTTGGCGCGCGGCTTCAGGGGCGCCCGTCGGGGCCCGACGCCATCGCGCGAGCCGGCGTTGACGCGCCGCATCAACGATCGGCGGGGCGCCGCTCGAACGATTTGTTTGTGCCGGCGGGCAGCCGCGGAATTCCGCCGATTAAATTCGAGCGCCCCGAATGGCACTTCGAAGGCGCTGCGAAAATAGACGCTGCCGGGGCCACCGCGATGATGTCTGGCACTGCCTGGCTGCATCGCGATGACGTCTGACCAGGCCCGGCGCCATGGCCAAAACCGGCCCCATCCGAGAGCCTGGAGCATGCTTGAATACTTTCGGATAGTTTACCTATACGACCACCCTTTGGACGATATGGACGTTGCGGGGGGGAGGGGGCGAGGGGGGGGGCCAAAATCTGACTCAATCGATCTCACTATCGATCTCACTCAACACCACGGGACACCACGGGACACTTGTCGATCTCACAATCGATCTCACTCAACGGGACACCACGGGACACCACGGGACACCGCGGGACACCTCACTATCGGTCTCACTATCGATATCACGATCGATCTCGTTCAACGGGACACCGCGGGACACCTCGGGACTCCACATCGATCTCACGATCGATCTCACCATCGACCTCACTCAACGGGACGCCACGCGACACCGCGGGACATCTGTCGATCTCCCAATCGATCTCACTATCGATCTCACTTTTCGGGACAGCACGGGACACCTCGGGGCACCGCATCGATCTCAGTATCGATCTCAATATCGGTATCACGATCGACCTCACTCAACGGGACACCACGGGACACCTCGGGACACCACATCGATCCCACTATCGATCTCAATATCGATCTCACTCAACGGGACACCACGGGACACCTCGGGGCACCACATGGATCTCACCATCGATATCACTATCGATCCCACTATCGATCTCATTCACTGGGACACCACGGGACAGCGCGGGAAACCACGGGACACCACGGGGCACCGCGGGACACCGCGAGCCACCGCTGGACGAACGGACGGACGGGCGGGCGGGGGATAATCATTCGCGTTGACTTCGCTCTAGCAACGGCGACTTCCACGGGGCACCATGGGGCGCCACGGGACACCGTGGAACACCGCGAGCCACCGCCGGACGGGCGGGAAGGGGATAAGACTTTGTCATGGCTTCGCCCTAGCAGTGCCGACACCGCGGGGCACCGCGGGGCACCGCGGGACACCGCGGGACGCCGAAGGCCACCGCCAGACGGACGGACGGACGGGAGAGAATCATTTGTCTTGACTTCGCCCTTGCAAAGGCGGACGCCACGGGACACCGCGGGAAGCGACGGGGTACCGCGGGGCACCGAGGGCCACCGCAGGACGGACGGACGGACGGGGGATAATCATTTGTCTCGACTTCGCCCTGGCAACGGCGGACGCCACGGGACACAGCGGGACGCGACGGGGCACCGCGGGGCACCGACGGCCACCGCCGTGCGGACGGACGAACGGGGGATAATCATTTGCCTTGACTTCGCCCTAGCAGCGGCGGGGTCATTCCTCTCGCGCGCCCACGCAGCTTCGCCTCGCCCGCGCGCGCGACACGAACGAAACGAAGCGATTTCCCGGCTGGGGGTCTCCGTCCCACTGCGGTCTCAACCCCCCGACCTCCGATAAGAATTAAGGCCCCCGTTGGTTCGAAGAACAGGTTCAAATAGATTCAAAGATATTCATATATCTCAGAAGATTGTCAAAGTCATTCAAGCCAGGCGTTTTGGGATTTGGGCTGGGATTCGGGGCTGGCCATTGGCCAGGAGACGCGCCGCCCGGTCGACCGGCCTCCCCTCGGATAACCAGCGCATGCTGTAGAGTGCGACGCGCGTGCGTTGCTGTCGACTGCGAGGGGCAGGCCGCACCCGGCACGCTCAGATGAGAGCGTGATCGCGCGGTGCGGGTGCGAACGCGAGGTCAAGCTCTTTCCGCAAGAAAAATCACCCGACCCCCTTTGGGCCAGCACCAAAGGTCACTCCGGCGAAGGGCCACTATCACG